CACTAATGGTGGCATACACTGAAGAAAGAACTATCACTAATGGTGGCATACACTGAAGAAAGAACCATCACTAATGGTGGCATACACTGAAGAAAGAACTATCATTAATGGTGGCATACACTGAAGAAAGAACTATCACTATTGGTGGCATACACTGAAGAATAAACTATCTCTAACAACGTACCTGTGTGGATTCTCTGGTGAGCTTTTAAGTGGCTACTTTTGGTGTAGACTTTGTTACAACCTACAGAAAACAAAGAAACAAACATTGAGAAGATGATACTGCAACAGATACACTAAGTATCACATCTACCGTTGTCAGATAATGTACAACACAGAGAAACATTCAGATGGTACTAGAATAGAAACACCAAGTATCATCTCTACTGTTGTCAGATAATATACATCATAATAAAGAAACATTTAGATGGTACTAGAACAGAAACACCAAGTATCACTCCACCGTTGTCAGGTAGTGTTCAACACAGAGAAACATTCGCTGTGGAGTGGCTTATATTCAAGTTTTGACTTACCAGGATGGTTGCAGTGATGAATTCTTCTTTTCTCTACCTCTGGGTTATTTCTTCGGTTCATGACCTCATCTGATTGGATACTGCTCGTTAGGGGTGGTGGTAGGGAAAAGGTGGTTTGCGAAGTAACGGGGTAGGGAGGTGGCGCAGTCATCCGACCATGTAAGTAACTCCCTGGCTCGGAATTTGGGGGCGTATAAATCCTGGATAAACCATAGTAAGACCCCGTAGAAAATCTATATGTCTGTAAATTATATTCCGAAGCCATGTTCTTTGTGTGTGGTGACAACACTGGACTTGTAGTGGACATAGGAAGGGAGATTTTGTTGCTGGACGGAAACTTGTTAACAGTTATTGCTTGCGTGTTCGAGAGTTTAACAGAAACACGTTCCACGCTACTTGTTGAATAAAGGCAGGGTGGAAATAAGCTTGTATCGGAAACGAGCTCGGCCTGCTCGTGGTCAGACTTCATACTGGCCGTGCTGTCTTCCCACGACCCACTTAAAGGCGGTTTCACCTGAGGCATCGGTACCGGTGCTGGTTTCAGGAACACATCGTCATTAGATTCGGCCATACCAGGAAACGTGCCGCAGTGTCGGGAACCGACGGAGAACGGGCGCTGTCCACCAATCTGAACAGGAGGTTCACATGTGGCAAAGTCAAAATGACTGTTGGGAAGGTACTCCATGTTTTCCTCGAAATATTCGTCCACTTGAGAAGCACTCTCTCGTCGAGATTTCTGGGGTAGGATCTCCGATAAGTGGCCCCATCCATACCGTCCTAAGTAGGCGTCCAGTTCGGTTCCGGTCTGTAGAGAAAAGACGAGAATTCTGTAAAAAATTACTGTTCTGTGTTACACGTGCACGTAAATATACATACTTCCAATACTGGTATTTTGCCACTAGACTATTACACTAATCATTATTTTAACCTCCGGGTTTAGCAGGTGTAACATTAGCGGGAACTGCCACTAGACTATTACACTAATCACTATTTTAACTAATACCCTCAATATTTTGACTATATATTTGTTGAAAAGTGTTTAAACTAGATGATATCGTTTGTTGATAAAAGATCACCATGTCTGTCTCATTCAGACGGTCAGACGAATCTGAGTGTCCATGGTTCAAGTCTCGTTGCTACAAAAATGTGATCCGTACTTTGGGACCATGGGTGAATGATAAGAATGACAGTTAAATCCCACTATTTGATTAGAGTAGCCCAAGAGTTGACGGTTGGCTCCATTAACTGGGAACCTTTCATCTGCTCTATCAGTTCAAAATTAGGACGACCGGCGCATGTATCTCTTGTGTCGCTACAAAAACATTAACTCATTCGAGATACTAAGACCGAAAATGTACTGGTTTGAAACTTAACGGTATATTTCATATCTAAGGTATGGGGTTCCCGCTAATGTTACACC